CGAGTAGACTATTTCAGACCATATAAAGCTTTCTCCAATGTGTAGACTTTTCCAACTGTAGACTGGGAAGAGAATCCTGGTGGCACATCCATATAAATCTTCTTCTCCAAATCCTCATGGAGAAATGCATTTTTCACATAAAGGCCACCCCAAGTTCGCTGCACATGAAAGACCGGCCCAAATGGAGTTCATCTTTGCTATAGGAGCAAAGGTTTTTTGATAATCAATTCCATATGTCTGGGTAAATTCCTTCGCCACTAATATTGCTTTGTACCGCTCAATTGTCCTATCTACTTTTTGCTTAATGGTGAACACCTATTTACACCTCACTGTTTTTTTCCCATTTCGAAGAGAAACCAACTCCCAAGTATTATTCTTGCTCAAGGCTTGCATCTCTTTTACCATAACTTCTTTCCACTTAGGATCATTAACAACCTCTTTCCAACTTTGTGCGATACATACAGAAGACAAAGACGAAACACAAGCACGATACACAGGAGACAATGAATCATAGGACACAAATTTAGAAATAGGGTGTTCAGTACAAGCTCTAACCCTTTTTCTAAAAGCAATAGGAAGTCGCAAATTATCAACAACAGGATTGTCAATTACTGATGAAGAAATAGAATAAGGTACATTACTTATAGAATCAGTGAAAAAAAGATCTGGAGCCAGCGTGGGAGATGATGATTGACTTAGTGGCATAAGGGATGGCTGCTCTTTTTGATGTTGTGAATAAATCTTAAGATCAACCCTGTCCAAATGGCCTCTAACGTTAGGCTCACCATAAAAAACGCTCTCAGGCTCCCCCTCACCACAAATAACAGCCCGCTGACTAGGACTAAGAAATGACAACTCATGCTGGTATGGCATCACCTCATCCGCAATCTCATCCATAACACTCTCCTCCTAAGGAGATGGCAGAGGAGAAGTGAAAAAAGACTCAGATTTATGGAAGGTGACATCCATACTAACATATACTTTATGAGTGTGAGGATCATAGCATATATAACATTTCTGAGTAGCAGAATAGCCAATAAAGGCATAACGCACAGCTCTGGGATCAAGCTTTCCACGACTACGAGGCTACAGATGAACAAAAACAGACACAACCAAAAACCCAAGGCGGAAGAGAAGAAGTGGGATAGGCAGCAGGAAGCAGTGCAAAAGGAATTTGGAATTGGAGGACACTAGAAAGCATACTGTTAATAAGGTGAGCAACGGCAAGAACACCATCACCCAAAAAAGACTTAAGGACATTCATAGTAAACAAGAGAGAGCGAGCAACTTCAAGGAGATGGCCATTCTTTTGTTTAGCAACTCCATTCTGCTGAGGAGTGCCAACATAACTAGTTTGGTAAAGAATGCCATGCTTCTCAAGATATGTCCAAAAACCACCATCAACATACTCAGTCCCATTATCACTTCGAAGAATATTAATAGTAACATTAAAGAGATTTGTCACCATTTTATTAAAAAAAAAAAAAAAAAAAACTCACTTTTAGTTCAAAGTAGGTAAACCCAAGTCACATGGGAATAATAATGAATAAAAATGACAAACCAAAGATACCCAGAAGTAGACACCACAGGGGAAGGCCCCTACACATCAGTATGAACAAGTATAAAATGAAAAGTACTTCTTTTATTAACTGAAGGATAATAAGTAGGTTTATACTTAGCAAGTTCACAAGTATCGCAAACAAAATTATTCCTAGAACAATCATGAAATAATGAAGGAAAAAGCCTTTCTAGAATACTAACGGAAAGGTGACCCAAACGATAATGCCATTGATGAAGGAGATAAAGAGAGGAGCCAGTAGTGCACTGAAGAGCATGGGTGGAGGACAACAGTAATGCGGGAGGGACAACATCCAGAAAGTACAGTCCACTATGTGTTTTACCACTACCAATTGTTTTTCCCGTAGCCAGTTCCTGAAAGACACAATGAGTAAGAAAAAATGTAATTGAGCAATTTAGAGAAGTAAGACTACTAACAGAAAGTAGGTTGGTGGAAAAATTAGGAACATAAAGCGCAAATGAAAGAGAAAGTAAAGATGAGTAATGAACAAAACCCTTGTCAACTACTCTAACTTTATCCCCCTCAGAACAAGGAGAATAATAATAGAAAAGACTGGAGGCATCTATCACGTGGTTGGTAGCACTAGAATCAATAATTCAAGAAAGGGACTAAGATGTACTAAGAGCACTAGCAGGAATACCTGTGTGGGCAAAATTGGAAGATGCAGAAGTCGAAAGAGCTATGGTAGATGGAGAATCAAGACGAGCTATCAAATGCTTGAGAGTGTGTAACTCATCCTGGGAAATAGTACTAGGCTTATAGAGAAGAGGTACCAGGAGCAATCTCAGACACATGCGCTTGGGGACGCACAACACCACCATGACCACGTCTCAAGTAGAACGACCATTCAATTTCCAACAATGCTCTGGATCATGCCTGTCTTTCCCACAATAATCACACTTCCACCGTGCCTGATCAACCTGTGTACTAGTATTGCCAAACTGAACCGGACTGGGCTTAGTGTCCCAAGTGGTAGGAGTAGTAACCAAGGTAGCACGATCCAAAATGGAGGAATGGACCATAGCACTGTGCGCCGACTCTCCTCTTGTTAAACAAGAGCATAAGCTTTGCGTAAGGTAGGAAAAGAACGACCCAACACTTAAACGCGAATCTGATCACACTCCAGATTCAGGCTAGCAAGGAAATCATACACACGCTCTCCATAACAAAGTAGCATCCTTGGAACAAACAGATTGAAAACTTTGATAATAATCAAATTCCTGCCACAAACCACTGTAGCATCCTTGGAACAAACAGTCTGAAAACTCTGATAATACTCAAGTTCCTGCCACAAACCACTGAGCTCAGCATAGTACACTTTAAGTGATCTGTCCTTCTGGTCCAGGCTCGAATCTTCTTTTTCAACTCATATGCCTGGGCATCATTACCCTGTTGTGAGTACATTTGTTCCACAGCGGTCCAAATCTTACGAGTTGTATCCAAGAGAAGAAAAGTTCGACTAATGGTGGGTTGCATAGAGTTAATCAGCCAAGTCATAACCAAAGTGTTCTCAGAAATCCATTGAGTACACAAAGTACCATCAGCAGGTTGGGGGCGGGCGACAATAGTAAGACTACAAGAGGGTGACCAAATCAAGTCATTTGAACCATCCAGTTTCACGGGACTGATTTGAAGAGAGGGACTATTGGATAGATTCATAACACGAGTCGTCCCATGCTCCTCATTGGCCTTAGGATCTTTATTGTCAATTTCAGTCATGGAAACTCAAAATCACACAACAGAGATAACACGACTACCCACGGAAGCAGCAATCAGAGATAAGCAAGGCCAAAAAACAAACACAGGACCAGAAGTTACATTTAGAGCAAAAAACAGTGCAGGGTCAAAAGGAATACTGCCTAAACCAAACCAGAAAGTGCTGAACTGGACTGAAACTGATAGAAACCCCATAAATCCAGCAAAACAAGGACACCAAGAGCCTCCAAAGGGCCACTCGGCCTGCAAGGGTTAGGGGGGAAGCGAAGAAACCAGCTTGAAGCGGCACAATCAAGGATTTCCAGAATAATCACCCATTATTCCAGAAAAAAAAAAAAAAAATGGAAAAACCAATCAAGAAGGGACAGAAAATTAAAAGAAAATTATAGGATGGTTACCCATCACCAGTCGTTCATGATTTTTTTTTTTTTTATCTGTTACAAAGAAAAACTGAAAAATGAAGGGAAAAAAAGAAAAAGGAGGGGAACAAAAAAAAATCTTCAAGGAGGAAGATAGTGCTATGATACTATGTTGATTTTACAGTCAAAGAACAAGAATGAAAGAGAGAGTCAAAGAGAGAGGGAGAGAAAGTAAACGGCTGCAACTTCTATTATATTTCAAAACTTAGGCTCTTCCCTATGTGCACACATGTATTTATAATAGAAGACACTAACGCTAATTACATAACTACCCTTAGACTCCAATAACTTAACACTTAACATAATGTGTGTTCTTAACAATTCCTAATATATCACAAAATTGGGCCTTCCCTAGGGCAAAGGGAAGGCTTGTTAGTGATAAGTTATTATTGTTTTTCTTATGGCCTAGCTGTGGCACATCTTATTCTAAGAAGTATAGATACGATGACATGAAAAGGACATGCTGACACAACAAAAAATAAATATATATTTTGATACATAAGGAGGGAAAAATATTAACAATTTATTTAGTTTTTACATTACAAATACATTTATATTCTATTATATCAAATTACTAAGAAATCATTTTCACATTCTATTTATTGGAAAAGTGTAAACAAAAAACTCTAATAGCTATATAAAAAGATAACTATTTATGAACAAATCGGTAGATTTCAGCTTTAGAGTTCTGGCTAGGAGAAATTAATAGGTATAACTCCACTGGGTTCAATCCCCAATGGAGTTGGTTTTATAGGGGTCTACTGGTTCAATGGTTAAAATTTAGCCTACTAACCTTGAGGTTGTGCGTTCGAACTTGAGGGTTGCCACTTTGTGAAATTATGTCAAACGTTAGGTTTGTACCCAATTTTCTCCTCCCAAACCTCCATCAAATGGGACTAAACTGGGTGTAGTTTTTTTTTACTCCCAAATTATTTTCTACAAATTTGCCATATGTTTCATGTGTATCTAAGCGATGGACAAATGTAGCCACGAAGTGTATGAAGTTTGAAGTGTACTAAAAAAAAAATTTTAAATAAGAGAACTTATTTAGATGTGTGTTTGAAATGTGTTGGGGAATGTCCACAATATGTATCTTATGCTGTTAGTATGTGAATTGTTTAGGGTAAAACTGCTTTTTGAAATTGTGACCATGTTCAAGAATTGGTAACACATTTAGCTGATGCACTAAAATTTGCTTTTGTTCATGCCATGAAATTTCTTGCATCCATTCTTAACTCACTTTTCTCTCTACGTGTTGTGATTTGTGATTGAATTGGGTTCTGCAGGTCCATAGTAATGTTTGCTTGGCCAGTGTTGTTGTCACTCAAACTTTAGACTGGAAGCTGCATGCTTTTGATGTTTTATCTGAGTTTGATGGAAATAATGAAGCTTCCACGGGACCAATGCTGGTACTGTATGTTTTCTGGATGTGCGTCATTTGGTTGCAATGTCCTTTTACCTTCTAATGTCAATGCATGTTTTTCATTTTGTTGAATTCTGTACCCAAGAAACATTTGTAATTGATACAAATTATAGAAGTTGCTTAAGATATGGAAAGTTATCAATTAATCGAGCATTAGAGAAAACTGTAGTGTTGCCCATCAAAATATAAAAAATAAACGGGGAGAACAATATGGAACAGAAAGCAAATTTTCAGGTCATTGGTTAAATCCTACTACCTGCCGGTTGAAACATGCCCACAATTAACATTTTGTTTAATTTTTTTTCTCATTTATATATTTTTTTATTTTAAAAAAAAAAATTCTTGTAGTTTGATTGTTAATGTTTTCACTAAACCCTTCTTTAATAAAATTCTTGTAGTTTGCTAAGTTCGTTCTAGATTTTCACTGATTGTTAATGTTTCACTAAACCCTTCTGTAATAACATTTTAGCATATTTTTTGTAATGTATATACAACTTACTCCACAGTAGTTTCTTTCGTAGTTTGATTGATTAGGATTTGCATTTACTATAAGTTTTGTGATTGAAAATTTTGTCTGGGTCACCTCTGCAATAATTAGCCAGAGATAGTTTAGTTGCTCACACATTGATATTTTCTCATACAGCAATATGAATGGCTTGTTGGTGCACAATACAAACCAATGGAGATGTTGAAGTCTGACTGGGCAACAATCAGAAAATCTCCACCTTGGGCCATTGACTCTTGGGGTTTGGGTAAGTTTAAAATTGCCCCCTTCGTAGGTATTGTATAGTACTGTATCAATTTGACCATAAAATGGATTGTAAGTGATCTCTTCATAATGTGTGAGTGCCAGCAGGCATTATTATTTTTTTCGGGTTCTAGCTAGTAGGGAAAATGGTCATGAATGTCTATGTATCCATGAGAATGCATTTTATCTGCGCATTTTACTTTCCATGTACTTCCTTGAATTGTTATAGCTGCTTAATACTGATGTACATTTAAGATTACTTCGGAGCCTTGTGTATACTGGATTCATTTGCTTGTATGGAAAAGTTAAACGGGAGGTTTTAACATGTAAGATAACATTCACATTCACAAACTTTATTGGACAGTCAGTAGTCATTTCATGCATTATGCTTTACCGCTGCTTTTCATAAGAATTCGATTCGAGCACTCTGTGAATAGACATTAGGATTGACTGCTATTTTAAGGAACCAGAATCTAATGGTAATGAAACATTTTACGTGGAGAGCAGCCAATCTTATTTACTATGTTGAGTTTCTCTGCCTTTGTCAACTCTTGGGTATTCGTATTTCACCTCATTTTGTTGCTTAATCTTTGGTATAATCTATATTGGTTCTTGTTCACAATCTAATTTTTCTGTTATATGTTAGGTTGTCTTATTTATGAGCTTTTTTCGGGAATGAAGTTGAGCAAAACAGAGGAGCTGCGTAACACTGCTAGTATACCCAAGGTATTGATCTGTCCAAATGTGTACTTCCTTATTCAGTTTCATTTCCTTTTACCCCTGTAATTTAGTATCATTGTTCAGCAAATAAGCGTGTCTGCTGTTTGAGTGTGCATGTGTGTTTGATTCTGTGGCTAACAAACTTGTTTTTGTCTTTTTCTTTAAAATTTCCAGTCATTTGAAAGATTCACCTCCATTTGCATCTGTCTATTTTCTTGTCTCACAGTCTCTACTTCCAGATTATCAGCGGCTTTTGAGTTCCATGCCTTCTCGCAGGTTGAACTCATCAAAGCTTGTAGAAAACAGTGGTGAGTTCTCCTACTTCTTACTATTGAAGTAAATGTATGACAAATATCTAGTCCTAGGAATGCGATTAACTTTTCACTTTTTAAAGGAAGGGTTGCCTTCATTTAATGGCCTATCGTAGCAGTTTTCTTTGTTTTCCTGAGTGTGTCCCTATAACATCACAATTAGTTTTTTTTTTTTTTTTTTTTGGCAAGGGTTTGTGGGGAGAGATAGTGGTGGGACAAGAGGGAGTCAAGAACCTTATCTTACTGTTTTAACTGAAAAAAATTCATAACCAATCAACTCTATGCTCGTCAACTGGCGTGTTTCGTATTTTTCCCTGTTTTGGCCAGAGTGCGTAGTATTTGACAATTGATTGTCATTTCAGGGAGGAAAGTGAACTTGATAAAATGTTTTTCTTTTCGTGTTTTCTTCCATTTGTTATGCTTAACTTTTCAATATTATCTCTTCTCTCCCATAAGTTTTCCTGTGTTTTTACTAAAAGAAGCAAACTATGTATTGGCAGAATATTTCCAAAACAAGTTGGTGGATACCATACATTTTATGGAAATTTTGAATTTGAAGGACAGTGTTGAGAAGGATACTTTCTTCCGCAAGCTCCCAAATCTAGCAGAGCAGCTTCCTCGACCAATTGTGCTGAAAAAGGTATCTTTTAGATTTCTAAAATGACAGGGCCAACTTCAGTTCTTTGTCAGGGGTTTCCAGTGCAAAGTCATTATTTGTTGTCTTTTCTATACAGTTAGTTCCTTTATTAGCTTCTGCGCTAGAATTTGGTTCAGCTGCTGCGCCTGCTTTGACTGCACTTTTGAAAATGGGTTCTTGGCTTTCACCAGAAGAATTTAACGCTAAGGTCATACTCTTTCAGTACCTTGGGTGCCTTTTCTTTTAATTATGTTTATGCTTTTAATTAATTCCCACAGTTGGGTTTCTCTTTGAATTTATTGATTGTTTCTTGTAATTACCATTTTCTCTATAATTTAATCTATGTAGAATGCAACATTTTTCTTTTTAGTTGATCTGTGTAAAATGCTTTTCATTTATTATTAGGTATTACCAACAATTGTTAAATTATTCGCTTCCAATGACCGGGCTATTCGAGTTGGTCTCCTGCAGCATATTGATCAATATGGGGAATCACTATCAGCACAAATTGTTGATGAGCAAGTATGTAGTCAAGATTAAACGATTATAATGTCTTCTTCTTCTTCCTTAAAAAATAAAAAAAAATAAAAAAATAAAAAAACTATATATTTCTCTTTTGGACAACTTCTGATGACCTTTTCTACGTTTCCATTATAGAGTTTGACATTCACTACACTCTTTACTAGGTTTATTCTCATGTTGCTACTGGGTTCAACGACACATCTGCTTTTCTGCGGGAATTGACACTTAAATCCATGCTTGTTCTGGCTCCTAAGGTGCGTGTATCTTGTTCTTTTGGTAGCAGTAGTGAGGCTCCTTTTCATGGTATTTTGCAAAATATGTAATGATTGAACAATCTTCTATATTATCAATTGATGTATACGGCTAGTAGAACATAATACTGGTTAGTGGTGTAGAAGTCTAGGCTTTCTTACACATTCTGTATCTGAAACCATATTTAAATTTCCCACTCAATTGTCATTGCTAATATCGATAGTCATAGGCAACTATTGGTGTATTGGTTCTTCCTCAATTATGGTATGATTTTGTTTCCTTGCTTATTTCGTTATGGAATACAATCCTGTGTGAGTGAAGGCTAGTACACATGCTGATTAAAAGATATCCAAAGATATTCTTATATGCTCAGAGAGGGCTCTCACTCTAGGACTCTTATATGACTTTTCCTTCATCCTGTCATTTTTCTGAAATGTTTTGGATATCTTTTCTGAGGTATTGCTTTTCAATTGTCTGGTAGAACTTCTGCAACCATGATCTTTTTAAGTACTAGTTTGTGTGCTCAAGTTGAGCTGTCTTCCCTGAATATGTTCAAATAATACAGTGTAGACTGTGTGTGTGTTGAAGCTTGTGCTAATTCACCGACTGTTTGATGTGTTCATGTGAGGTGTAAATTTTCATTAATGATCTATTCTATGAGGGAGATTGATGGATGATGTTGAATGTTACAAAAAGCATACATATTCACTTACAGTTGTGACCACTGTTATTCTTGTTTTTGCTACCACTTCAACTGTATCGGAAGTATCTTTTTTAAAGTTCCAAGTTAGATTTAACCCTTGATCTGTTTTAAAACACTATTATTACAAAACTACGTGCATGTTGGGGCCTTTCTGATCTTAAATCAATTCACTGTACCAATGTAAAAAGATGGGGGATTCACTTCTGGAACTTCCAATGGTAATTTTGAATCAGAGCTCTACAACTTCCAGTGAAAAAGCTTGAAATCCATGAGTAAAAAGGTGAAAAAAGTAAGCTGTATTTAATTTAGGACTAACATTTTATGCGAAGTAGAAGAATGATTAGAAGTGGAACTAAATTTTGTAAAGACAGTAGGAAAAAACAAGACCAAATTATTAAGGACTAACGTTTTATGCAAACAAAGTCTCACCTTAACTCCTCATTTTTTACATATCATGAGGCTAACCTAGTTCTGGGGTCAGCAGAAATTCCTGAGAAATGAGTGGGCAAAGTCAGACACAAACCAAATAAGAACCATAAAATTGAAACAAACTAAGAAAATAAATGGCAACTAAAGGTTGCACAAAACTGTTGAAGACTGTTCCTATGATAAAACTACAGTTCAACCCCATAAGCAATTCATACCAAAAAGCACTCCTGGATTTGATTGCATCTGTAGTTTGTACAGTGTTGTTTTTACCTCTAAATTTTATAGGGCAAACTTCACTTTACCCCCCTATAGTTTACTCCATGTGCGGTTTGCCCCCCATCATTTGGAAATAAGCACATAACCCCTTGTGGGTTTGTGGACTAAAGTGCACCTTAGACATTCCGTTCAAGTTATTAGCTTGTGTGGAACACACATTCAACCCCAAGTGGTTGGCCTGGTGGCTTGGGGCCTGGGGGTGTGCTGCCTCTATTGTCTCTAGTTCAAAACCTTCTAGGTGCAAACAATTTCTTGAGGCCAGTCTATACGAGGCTTTGCCCCGGCTTTAATTGGAGCCTCCGTTAGTGGACAGTGGGATTGGTCTTCTGAATTAAGCGGTCCATTGGGTCAGATACCAAGTTAACCAAAAAAAAAAGTATGAAACACATTTTTGGACAAACTTCATGGGGTAAACAGCGCAAAGAGTAAATCACAAGGGGGTACAGTGCATTTTGAGTCCCCAAAAAATGACAAAAATGTTTGTGGTTTACACAATGAGGTAACTTATATACAGGGATGTTTAGTCTTTTCTCTCAAGCCATTAACAATACAGACAATTTGCTTTAGTCCACAAACTACATTGGGTTGTGTGCTTATTTCCAAATGTTAGGGGAGTAAAACACACATGGATTAAATCACATGGAGTAAAGTAAAATTTTCTCAATTTTATGTGCTGTACTGATTTTCCTCTGGTCATTTGCATTCATGCATTGGTTTTCTATGGAGAGTGAGGTTATAGAGGCATTATCCTTAGAGCTAAAGCAGTTAGGATGCAAGCAAGTAAAAATTGGAAGTTTAAGAAGTTGACTATTAGGCCGGTTATGCTTTATGTTGAATTCAAGGTAGTGCAGAACATGTTCTTAAATAACACTAGTGAAAATGAGATTGATAAGATGGACTAATGTTACGCAGGAAAGTAAACAAATGCTATGCAATGTTTTATGATATAGTGGAGGATATGGACATGGTCCGTAGTTGCCAATATGAGAAATGGAAGTTGGAAACAAACAGAAATTTGAAATGTTGTCCAAAACTATTACGGGAAATGGTAAAAGATATGTCATAGAATATTGAATATGATCTCTACCTTAAAAATAGCAATATAAAGTACTAGAATACTTTCACGATCAATTTAAATAATACACAATATCTATAGAAACTTGTTGGAACAATTATATATGAAATTATAATGAGAAGCTTGTTTCCTGATATTTTTTTGACAGTTTTTGACAAGTTTCCTTTAATTGTGATAGGATTCCTATTAGGTTTCCCATTTGATTCTTAATCGTTTCCTGCTTCCCATTTCCCATGTATTTTTTTGGATGCCTTTCCCATTTCCGTTTCCCATTGTTTCCCATTTTTGCTTCCTATTTTGGTAACTATGGTATGACTCTTCTAAGAGCCAAATTATGATATCTCCTTCCAAGTTACGATATGAGGCTTTGCTGAATTGATCATCGCTTTAATGACATTCACAGGTTTGTTTCATTGTGACCAATGGAAATTCTTCCCTTTTAGTATTTCATCTTGAAATAATTAGTTATTTTATGTTTTCATATCTTGTAAGCAATTCTTTATTATTATTTTAAAGTCCATCTTCCATCTTCTTCATCTACTGGTTATCTTATTCCTTGGATTGTGTTATTCTGCTATATCTAATGATGATTTGTGGTTGCTAAGTTCTTTTTTTGTTAATTTTTTTTTTCCCTCCCTGACTTGTAATTGCAGCTGTCTCAACGCACTATCTCAGGATCTCTATTGAAGTATCTTTCTAAGTTACAGGTATTATTACATCATCATTTGTTGATTGGAAGACATTTAAAATTTGTTTTTAATTTACACTTGCAAGCTTTCTTTTTCCAAGTGATACTACATCTTTTAGTGTTAACACAACTCACTTGATGATGCAGTTATGATTTCTTTGCTTTACTTTTTAATTCATCATGCTTTGTAGTTTTGTCTTTTTCACACTTGTAAGTTGTGCAGGTTGATGAAGAACCAGCTATTAGAACAAATACCACTATACTGCTTGGGAATATTGCCAGCTACTTGAATGATGGGGTTAGTATTAGCCAGTTTGTATTCTTTTTCACTATAGGGTATCCTGACAGTGTAATTTTGTTTGAGAAGCTAAATCTTTGGTTATGTAGTGCTCAATGTTTTATGTATGTTAGTTGCATTTAAAATATAAAGGTCCTATGATAAACATTAATAGTAACCAATGTATCTGAAACTACATTGTAGACACGGAAAAGAGTTTTGATAAATGCATTCACAGTTCGTGCTTTGCGTGATACATTCTCTCCTGCCCGAGGAGCTGGTAAGAACTGTGCAACCTGTTCCCTTTGATTACTTTTTGACTTCTCTCTCTCTCTCTTGTTTAACAATATTTACATTGTGGCAGGCGTTATGGCTTTGTGTGCCACCGGTTCTTATTATGATGTCACCGAGATAGCAGCTAGGATTCTGCCAAATATTGTTGTACTTACCATCGATCCTGACAGGTCATCGTTAATTTTCATTATTTAGTTTGGTATTTTCATAAAAGGGCCACTGGTCCAGTGGTTAAAACTCAACCTACTAACCTTGAGGTTATGGGTTCGAACCTAAGTGCAGCTACTTTGTATAAATTATGTCAAATGTAAGGTCTGTACCCAGCCTCCCCCTCCCAGACCCTCATCAAAGAGGATCTAAACTGGTTGTAATTTTTTATTTTTATTTTCACTTTATTCTTCAATTATAATTTATTATTTTTATTTGATTTATTAATATTATTATTATTTTTATCAATATTCTCTTTTCAATATCTTGTATGTTTAGATGATTTATCATTTTCGATTCTTTTTCCCCTATGTTTTGATTCACCTAAGAAAAACCTCTAAGATCCCGATCTTACACATCATGTTTATTGAAGTAACAATAAGTTCCCCTCCCCTATTTTATAGTCACCTACCCTACATTACCTGCCCTTCATATTTTTAAGTGATTATGTCAGATATTTGGTTCAGTTTGTGAAGTATAGAGAAAACACTAATAATCTTATAAATATAAACATTTAGCATAGGCTTATAAATAAATAAGTAAATAACATTTTTTATGGTCATAAAACTGCTCATTATATTTGGAACATTTATTATTCTTATGCATTCCACTTCTGTAACTTTGTGTTAGGAAAAGAGCTTTGGTTATACATGTTTGTATAGTTGTTCACTAATATACGGAAGCACACGATCTCTTTTAAATTAACTAAGAAACAATATGTAGATAAGATGAGTGCTACTGAGATGAGGATGCTAAGGTGGATGTGTGCCAAGACTAGAAAATGCATAATTAGGAATGAATATATCCGTGAATAGTTAGGAGTGGCACCGATAGAAGATAAGTTGAGAGAGAATAGATTGAGATGATTTGGTCATATGCAACGGAGATCAACAAAGACAGCAGTGAAGAGAAGAGATGTGATACAGTGACGGTAGATGGAAGTGTTAGGGGAAGGGGCAAGCCTAGATTGATGTGGGCGAGTGTGGTAAATGGAGATATGAGTTTCTTAATATGACTAACTAAATGGCCGTTGATAGAGTAGAGTCGAGAAGAAGGATTCATGTAGCGGACCCCATTTGATGGGATTTAAGGTTTGATTTGGTTTGGTTTGGTGACATAAGTTAAAGCTTTTTAGGTGGTCCCACTGCTGTATGCTAATGTGTATGGTAGAGGGAAAAAAAAAAATCTCTGAAGACCAGATTGTCATTTTTGAGGCTTAAGCAAACTTGATTTAGGTTGCTTTTTCAGTTGGGGTTCCTCCACTTGTCATCTGTATAATTCTGTTTTGTGAAACTCTTCAATTTATATCAGTTTCCCTAACCACTGTAGCATTGTTTGGCTACCATATACTTCATGTCCATTGGATTTTATCTGTTTCTTCTTACAATTGCAAAAAGAAAAAGGAATTTTAGAAATTTAATTAATGTTTCTAGTTCCTCTGTTGTTCATTTATTACAATTTTTAAAGATCTAGGTGGAAAAATATTTGTTCGTGCTGTAGATGCCTATGTATTGCCTCATTGTCTTACCTTGCTAGACTGCTGACCATAGGCCTGAGGGAAATACTGGTAGCCTGGCACCAAACTTGGTTGTGCCCTTGGATGCTTAGGTTGTCAAGTTGAGAGCACCTAGGCAGTTGCTTGTGCATGTTCTTTTACTGCATAAATTCCTAGTCTATTAGTTGGATATTGGATGGGCTTGTAGTGTTGTTCCCCACAGATAGGAAATCCTCAAGAGTCTGACGCATGAGTACTTTGACGAACATGTCGTACCAGTATCGGATACTAATACTTTGCATTGTACTTCTGCATATGTACCATACACATACCCATTTTTTTTTTGTACCCCCAGAGGTATCTAGTATATGCCTGAGCTGTATCTCAACCGGAATAATATTTTCTTGTATAAACAAGTGAAGTTAGTTTCATTGGACTTTTCTTTCTTTCTTTCTTTCTTTTTTTTTTTAATTTAATGGTTAGCATGTTTTTAAAACTAAGCTTTGGTTTGTAAGTTATTTAATATAATGACAATTAATTTTGATTTATGCCTTACTTTTGGCATTAAATGTGAATTGTGAATTGGATCTTGAGCAACTAAACCATTTAACTAATTTTTGCATTGCTCTAAATTAAAAATAAATATATTTTACAAATGTACCTAGTTGTACCCCTACCCCTACTTTTAGATTTTACCATATCGCCTACACGTACATGTAACCAGTACATATGCTTCATGGTTGAGTTAATCTTATATGTCAAACAACACATGCAATTGAAAGCTCTTAGATAATTTGGTCTGACATTTTATCAAGCTATCTACATTCATTATTAGCCATCTTATGGACTAGAAATTGGGTGTCATTAAAGAGAAAGATGGAATTTCCTTTTTGTTCCCCTGTGCCGCCTGCCTATTGAATTTTGTTAGCTGTTGCATCCTTGTTCTTTGTTTTGTTTTCTACAGTCATAAATGAGTTTAAATTGAAATACAAAAGCCTGTCCTCTTTTTTGGAGCTATACAAGATTTTGACTTTTCTCCTTTTTGGGACAGTGATGTTCGATCAAAGGCATTTCAAGCAGTTGACCAATTTTTGCAAATAGTGAGGCAGCACCATGAGAAGGTCTGTTACTGGATTCTTTTTGTTTTTAATTTCAGTGCGTCATCTTGCTTTTTTATTCTTCGGGAGAATATTTGCTTTGAGATGTTTAGATGCTATAGAGCATTGTGCAGCACAAAAAAGAGCCAAAGTGTTACCTTGTGTTTATTAAGAAGATAACCAATTCAGCATTGTGTTTTCGTCATATATATTATCTGATTTTTTGGACAACTGTTTTTCCTGGAATTTTTTATTTTTTTTATTTTTTAAGACTTCCGTTTTTAAGAAACATTTGAATGTTGATTTCTGAATTTTGAATACTGTTTTCAACAAAATTGAAAACTATGGGTGGTCTCGAACTTTTCAAAAAACAAAAATACCGGAAATGAAATTGATGCCAAACAGACCCATTTGCTCTGACAGCTTTTTTCTCAGCCCTACTTGCAAGAATATTGCTACACTTAAATGTTGCATAACCTACCCCTACCTTTCCCGTCCATTGCGGGTATCGAAGGTGAGTGTCTTCTGTAGGGATTTAAAACCTTCCTCAGCATACAGCTCTTGGCATTTTCATTATAAAAAAATCAGGTTGGTTGTGGAACCAGGTAATTGAATGAAGTTATCTTCTGCTTATCCATTTAATATATTTTCTTGATAAATTCTTGGTCATATATCAAATATATAGAGATTCACATTTGAACTGAAAATGTGAAAAAACTGTCACTTAATAGTTATTTGTATTAATGTGAACTTGAAGTAATAATTTTATTGGAAAGCAACTAAATAATGTCAAGGAACTGTAAATTTTGGAGAACAGGTTGGTTATGGTGGTGGTGATTGATTCCTGCTTTGTCCTCACACTCTTGTATCTATGTTGTCCTTTTTTTAGACAAATACGGGGGATACAAGTGGGGCTTCAAGTGGAGGAATCTCATCAATACCAGGAAATGCAAGTTTACTTGGGTAAGTTAATTGCTTTGTGACTGATCTGTGGCAGTTCTAGACTTTCTTGATTTTTGATTCCACTGCATGAATCATAGTTCTCCACTTGTAAAGCTGTAATATTAAAACATTTATCTTCTGGAAGAATGTTTGCCACACTTGTTTGTCAAAAAAAATTTGCTTCCGACACTCATGTGATAATTGCAATGTAGATGGGCCATGAGTTCCTTGACTATAAAAGGCAAACCTTCTGAACAAACACCACTTGCTTCATCAAATTCTAATGCGCCTCTTACTTCTGCAGTCTCCAATGCCAGCTCGGGTATGTTTTCCTCATTGTTGTTAAATGTTTGCTTCCTTGTGGGATCCACTTTTCCAATCACGTCCTCCTCTTGGCAAGAGGCTGTTTTATGGATTTGACATAATTGATATGATCATTATTGAGTCTCAATGGTTATCGAAATCATGATAAAATGGTTAATAAATGAGGGAACACCATTATTTGTTTATTGTCCAATGTCCACTACTAATTAGAAAAGCAAGAAATATGACCATATAATTACTTTAAAAAAAAAATATGACCATATAATAAGATTCACCCTATTAGTTGTATTTTCTTTTGGCCTCGTGGTCTTTTTTTTTCCCTTCAACCACAGTTATTTGGCTGGGACATGTCAATCTTGGTTTCAAGTTTTACAGTTTTGAAGCTGTATGAATGAGCTTTTGTTTTTGTTTTTTGTTTTTTGTTATATATATATATATATATATTTCTGTTGATGATGATACTACCAAAATATGCTTTCCCAAGAGAGTTTACATTTCCTGAAGTTTCTTGAAAATTTACTACATATCATTCCTCTATTCAAGCAAAAAAGAGAAGAATTATCTCGAGTAGAATTGGAGCATTAATATAAACATGGAAGTGCTCATGGCAATCATCACTTTATTACAGATGAAATGTGTGACCATGGCAATGAAGACATTAAAGTTACTACAGAATATTGAGAAAGTTTGATTTGAATAACTATGCATATTATGAAAATATGAAAATCTGATCCACAAGTTATTCAGGATGGAACTTCAAAAAGAATTTCAGAAAGATTTATTATATGCTGGACACTATTACTATATTGGATCTTTGTTGAGGGAATAAAGAGGAAAAGGAAAACTAAATTACTTCTTGTGCCTAATTATTTTTCAATGGGTAGCCAAATTAATAAATATATTTCCTGAGAAATGGTTTCTCATTTTCTCAACCCAATCAAACAAAAGAAGCATCTCTCATTTTCTTTTTTCTTTACCAATTACAAATACAATAACCAAATGGAGTGTACTTCTTATCTATTTTAATAATATTATATTTTGTTGCAAATCAAACAGAGTGTAAGGGATACCTCTGGAATTATGGACATGTACTGGATGAGTTTACAGCTCATCTATTTAATTAAAAATATACATGAAAATTTGACTGCCAGAGGACAGTTCAATAATGAAAGAAAGGTTGTCATAGACTCTGCTTGATCAGAATGGAAAGTCAGCGCCAAGCATATTAGACTGTTTTTTAGCCTGGTTTCTGGCCATATATTAATGCTTTCAAATTTTTGGATGATGCAGTAGTTTTATGCGTGTTTGCATACATTGGTTTGATGAGTTTATCTTTTTGGTAATTTCTTGTGACAACTTCAGTGATGGATAGTCCTAGTGCAATGTCAGTCCGTGTAAGTTCCAGTGAGAATATAGCTGATGTACCTGCTCCCGTGTCCCCAACATCAACTGATGGTTGGGGAGACCTTGAAAATGGACTTCATGAAGGGCAGGAAAATGACAAAGACGGTTGGGATGATATTGAGCCACTTGAGGAGCCAAAGCCATCTCCAGCTCTTGCAAACATTCAAGCAGCTCAAAAGCGACCTGTCTCACAACCAAAACCGCAAGGTAATAACAGCCAATGGTCTTACCTTTAAGTACTTCAACCATATCTGACAAGTGACAGTTAGTTCATGCTTGAGTACTTCAACCATATGGCCAAAATGGAGTTCCTAACCAAAAAATGTATTAGAATTAAGACACAAAGCACAAACATGTTTACAAGTAGATCATCAGTTTGCTGAATTTAGATAAACTAACTAATTTTGAGCAAGTATAGATTAATTTTTTTGTTTGTTTATCTAACATGAGATTTTCTGTTTGCTTAGTTACAAGTTTACGACCCAAAAACACAGTTAAGGCTGCCAAAGATGAAGATGATGACTTGTGGGGTTCAATAGCTGCCCCTCCTCCAAGATCGAGCACAAATTCTTTGAATATGAAATCAAGCGGAACAGCTAATGATGACGACCCGTGGGCTGCCATCGCTGCTCCTGCACCTACCACAAGGGCCAAGCCATTGTCAGCTGGGCGAGGACGAGGCGCTAAACCTGTAGCCTCAAAATTGGGTGCTCAAAGGATAAACCGGACATCCTCAACCGGGATGTAAAATACTCCAGGGAAAGAAACAGGAGAAAGAAAGGGAGCAAAGATAAAAATGAAAAAAAAAAAAAAAAAAAAAAAAAAAAAAAAAAACAGATTAAGATTTGAGTTTTGTACATTTTTTCACTTCTTGAGGTTCAGTGTTCATATCAAATATAATACTGAAATTATTGGGTCATCGGGAGTTGTATTTGTACTAGTATTATCTTTTACATATCAACTTTTGATTTGTATTATTATTCTTTTTCATCAAACATTATTTTTCCCTCCAAAATGTGCTTTCCTCCAACTAGGGCTAAGCCAGGAATCCGTAAAATTCGTAATTTGATCCAGTCCAGTTCAGTCCAATCCAGTAGGTTTGGATTGGTTTTTTGAATCCGTGGTTCGGTTTCGGATTGAAAAATTAAAAGTTCGTAATTCACGGATTGGTTCCGGATTGAATCCCATGGTTCTAGATTGGAACCGATCCGGACCGTATACAAATAATCTATATTTTTATTATACACCTTTATGCATAGTATCTTCTCTTATTTCATATAAAACTTAAATCCAAACCTAAACTTGCATAGTGTCTTCTTTTATTACTTTTGTTTGCTAGTTTTTAGTGTTAATTTGTAATAGTCTAAATATTTATGGTGGAACTAATTTTCTTATAGTTGTTTAAATTCTAGAACAGTTTGACGCTATTATGAAAAGACATGTTGCTATTGTGAAACTAATATGGTGCTATATTTATATTTTTATGAAATTAAAGTGTTATATATATATTTTTGTTATTTAATTATGTAAATTCGTGATTCTAAACCGATCCAATTCGTTTTTAAATGGATTGGTTTAGATTGGTTTCACGATTTAAACGGATTGGATTGGTTCTAATTTTTTAAAATCCGTAAATAACGGATTGGTCTTGATTTTAATCTAATCCGATCTAATCCGGATCATGTTCACCCCTACCTCCAATATAACAAATTATAGTTTGATTTGTAATTTTTTTCAATTATTTTCAAGAATATATGTTTTTCATTAAACGTTTCTTTACCTCCAAAATGTTATGTTGAAGCAGCCGGAAAGAAGTTAAAACAGATACTATTCGTGGAGAGTAGATGATACTTTTGATACCACACGCACTATGTATTATGTGATATATGTTAAATATTTTGATGCATATTATGTGATATTCTAGTAACATTTTGATAATTTGTGATTTAAAAATAAAATTACGTATTTTTGTGATATTATTACAAATTTTTGAACCATAGAAGGCATGTAATGTTATTACAAAAATATATAATATTATATAAAATGTATAATTTTATTTTTTTAATCATAAATTATCATAATTTAATTAAAAGTTACATAACGTATTGTTGCAAAATGTGTAACATGTATAAAATATATATATATATATATATATATATAACACAACCTTATAATAGGTGAGTACCGAACAACCTTACTTATTAATGCCCCACATGGGTACTAATGTGGCATAAGTAATACGTCTCACCATATTACTAATATCAAGCCATGTGATTATATATAGTTCAAAAAAAAAAAACCCATGTGATTCCCTCTTCCTTCACTCAAAGATTAGGAATAATATAATAAGTCTCACCGTATTACTAATATCAAGCCATGTGATTATCTCTAGTTCAAAAAAAAGTCATGTGATTATCTCTCTCCCTTCCTTCACTCAAAGATTAGGAATAATATAACCAAATTAAATTAAATCAAACCAAACCAAATTAAATTTTAAGTCTCATCAAATTGAATCAGCTACATGAATCATTCTTTTTCATTGGACTCTATCAACAGTCATTTGATTAGTTAAATTAAGGAGATTCATATCTTTATTTACTACACTATTGGTATTACTCCTACGAATTTACGAATATATTCATTCCTAATTCTATATTTTCTAGTCTTGTTACACATCCACATTAGTATTCTTATCTCAACACTACTCATTTTATCTGCATGATATTTTTAGTTGTCCAACATTATGTCCATTCAATATCGCGATATAATAGTCGTTTCTATTATTGTATGATATTATTTATCTCTACTAATTTCAACTACAATTTCATAATATTTAATTCTCTCTAAATTGATCATGCAATGAATTGTGCACAAACCAAACTCATGTTCAATGGCATCTTGTGAGCTCACTTGACTTCTACTAGTTGGTTATATATATATATTTGTCAAGATTGAATGATATTAGTAAAGTTAAATTACAACTAAAGACGTCGTCGCTGCTCGAACATTTGACATTTCGCTCACCACATTCTAAGGTGTGACTATAAAATCATTGGGCCAAACTGAGCCTCGTGTTTTTGGTTTGTAGAAGCTCATATTTGCTTGCTTTTGGAAAAATTCTTTTTCATTTTTTCTGAAAAATAATCTATTTAAAAAAAAAATGCTTTTGGAAAAATTCTTTTTCATTTTTTCTGAAAAATAATCTATTTAAAAAAAAAATTAAAAGGTTGCTTTAATGTGTTTCAAATTGATTTTGCGTTAAAAAAAAGGTAGAAATAATTTTAAACTTTTCAAAAAAGAAAAAAAAAAAAAAACTCAAACCCAGATTTGAATGATCTCGCTTGAGTTTTCTCAGCCTTCCCACAATAAGAAAGACTGACTATTTGCAAGTCCCAAGTTCTTAAAAAAAGAGTGCAGATTTGTAAAATTGACCATCTAAATGTCACTGTGAGGTTGGTTTATTGTGGGATTAATTTAGACTCATTTTAATAATTTAAATTGTTTATATTATGCAATTAACTGAAAAATTTATTTATATAAAAAATTTAATTGATTTAACATTAATTGTCATATTATCAAAATATTTTTATCTATATGTCTTAAGAATAAACTGTTCATTTATTTTTATGTCTAATGAAACGAACTTTTTACATAATCAAAAATGCTAGAGGTCTCAAAAATTTTATCAAAAGTTTTACCAAATGTCTTACATGGGTGGTGTGGGTGTGTGGGTCCCACACCCATATGAGACATTTGATAAAATTTTTAGTAAAATATTTGGAGTCTCTAGCATTACTCTTACATAATATTGTTTTTAACATGTCATATAAGATAAACTATTCAACTCTAATGGACCAAACCAATTCCACTAATGAAATTGAGATGTTCAACTACAGCAAATCCCAACTCTCAGAAAAGGTTCATAAATTCCTATATAAATGACGGAGTCAAAACGAAATTAATTGCCATAATTACAACAACCAATACATCTGAGGGGGGTTTCTGCAAATTGCTCGAATGAAGAGATCTTAAAGTCATAAATTACAATTAAGTCACTGTGTTATTACTAAATTACAAGCAATCGTATGTAACAGTGAATTCCGCAATCACTCTCGTCTTTTTCCCCTCACTGCAACTCTGCAACGGCATTGTTCTCTTCATTCTCTCACCTACAGTTGAGACTCACAGAGAGAGAGAGAGAGAGAGAGAGAGAGATGCGATACAGGGGGTGTGGTTATTGTGATCTGGTTTATAATGGGTACATTGTAGTGGTAGTGATAGTGAGCTTGTGGATCATAGAGGTTCGAGGTTCGATCCATGAGTACAAGAACGAAGCATTCATTCCTCGCTTCAATTCATTCTTCTTTCATGGCGGCAATGAGGGACTCTACGCTTCTAAGGTCCATGACATTTCCATTTCCACTTCCATTTCCAATTCCACTTCCACTTCCGAAGATAAACCCCTCACTGGCAAGTCTTTCATCAGGTATAAACAAAACCCAACATTCTAAAATCACACATTTTATTCAGACGAGATCGCTTCAATTTTTTTTTTTTTTTTTGCCTTTTTTTTGGCCTTTTTTGTATTTGTATAATGTTTTCTTTATGTAAAATAATCAACAATGCTTCTCATGGTTTGTGTTGTTATAATTGGAATTGACATTTGAAGAATTTCTTATATGATAGATGCATTATATGCGTATATGTAGTGGGAATGCTTATTTCTTTGGAATTTCATTTTTTTTTTTTAAATTTTTATTATTATTTTTACAGTTCATCTGAGCATATAACCATTGACAGAGCGGAATCACATGTATAATATATGTGGAATTGGTCTGAAAATGGTTTGTTGTTTGGAATAGAATGATATGAAGTCTTTAAGGGCCTATGTGGTCATTGGAAGTGATATTCATTGTTGCATCAACTATAATGACTGAATTCATGAATGATTGAGCAAAGGTTAAATCATGAATAAAATCAATTTGGCTTTACTATGGGAGATAAGCATGGAAGCTATTCTTGTCTCTACACTTCTTTGGTAAAATGTGCCCTTCGTGTCTTTGAAAAACAGAAAAAGAAATACAAGTAGGAATAGTAGAAAAGATAACTAGGCCCTCTTCATGGTTGAAACCTCCGTTTGCAAGGAGATCGGCACATTTGTTTCCTTCCTGGTACATGTGCTTAACAGTTGCTACCCCAAGCCAGTCTAGGCGGTACCTGTAGTCGTGAGTCAGGCTGTTTAAGTGGTGACCTTCCATGATCTTTCATGTAACAAGTTGAGTTATCAACAGGGCATCAGTTTCAATTTCAATATTGGTTAAATCCATGTCCATATGTAGAGTGAAAGTGGTATTTGTCGCATCAACTATGATTGAATAGATGAGTGATTTTAGAAAAAAATGAACTCATGAAGGCTTGAATTGAATTGATGAGTGGTATTTGTTGGATCAACTATGATTGAATCAATGAGTGATTGTCAATGTAAATCACTTGAATGAGTGCTTTCATCAAAATCCGAATGCTTCTGAGTTTGGGTTTCCAAGAACCTATCGTTGCAATACCTCTGACACTACAGGTTTTCTTGTTTGTGATCGTTGTGTTTCTAAAATTCAAACAAGACCTAATTTCTTAAATGAATTATGCTTAAGATGGGGGCTTTACCCAAATGTTTCAACATGGACCTACTAAGAGGTCGTTAAAACAATTCGCATACTATTTCTCTTTCGCATAAACATATCATTATAACATCATTGGATGTGGTCTTTGTTGAGTCTGAACTTCCTTGTTGCTTTCTTTATTTGAGTGATCTAATTATTGTTTGTGAATAATGAATAGCTGATATAGCTAGCTTTTTTTTTTTTTTTTGGTTTTCTGAAATCTATGGTTGTATTTCATTAAGAATGCATGTTCAAGACCTGTATCTGGCTCACAGATGTGATTAGAAATCTAAAACTGCTTATCTCTGCATTTGATTCTAGGTGATGCCATTTAGTATAGATTACAAAATTGTCAGCTAAAAGAGTTTGTTTGCCAATAATGAGTATGGTTTACCTGAAATGAGGATCTGTAAGCATGATGAGAATAGTTTGAAATAGTTATCTCTCCCATGCTATGTGATTTCAGGTTTGAGTCAATAGTTTTTCGAAGAACGAAAGAGGCCACCAGTAAACAGAATGAGATGCAGCAAAAGACAGGATTGGTTGAAGCTATAATAGTTCAGGTCAAAGACAGGGATAAAATTGGAGGTTTTTTCTTACAATCTGATGCGATATGCTGCACTCCTCCTCTTGCCAATGATGGATCGTGCAACGTTGGAGAGGTTATTATCCGGCAAGACCCAGATAACCCTGGGTGGCCAAAACGGATCCAAACCTTTTTTGAAGGGAAAAATGAAGAGGCTGAAATGGTTATACAGACTGTTGAGATCAACAGTACTGGCATGTTCTACCTATACTTTATGTTTTGTGATCCAGAACTCAAGGGCACATTAATCAGTGGAAGAACCGTTTGGAGAAACCTAGAAGGTTACCTACCCGGGAAAATGGCGCCTCTGATGACATTTTTTGGTTTCATGTCTCTAGCTTACCTTGTTCTTGGTCTCATATGGTTTCTTCACTTCGTACAATATTGGAAGGATATTATACAATTGCATTACCACATCACAGCCGTAATTGGTCTGGGAATGTGTGAAATGGCTCTCTGGTATTTTGAATATGCAAATTTCAATGCCACTGGAAGCAGACCAATGGGAATAACCATATGGGCAGTTACCTTCAGTGCTGTCAAGAAGACTGTCTCTCGTCTTCTTCTTTTGGTGGTTTCAATGGGTTATGGTATTGTTCGGCCCACCCTTGGTGGTATAACCTTGAAAGTACTTCTTCTTGGGGCGGTATACTTTGTGGCTTCAGAAGCCCTTGAGCTTGTTGAACATTTGGGTAATATCAATGACTTTTCTGGAAAAGCGAGGGTTTTTCTGGTGTTACCTGTTGCTCTGTTGGATGCCTGTTTTATTCTTTGGATCTTTTCATCATTATCTAAGACATTGGAGAAGCTTCAGGTAGTGATACTGTTTATTTCCAATGTTTTCCAAGTTGTTGTAGAGTCCACTTTGCAACTGTTAAATGACTAATGCACTGCTTGAGCTATTAAAATCTGTCAGTTATGCACATGACCTCATCCATCATACATGGTGTGTCAGTCTCATGCCTATAACTGATATTCATTATCTAAACTTGACAACATTTTATCCATTTTAAACTGTACTAAGTAGTGTCATGCAACATGTATCAGTGCAAATAGGACTGATCTAGAATTTCACTGACGCTCAAATTGTCACAAATGAATTGTGTCCATATATTAAAAAATAACTATGCTGAGACACAATAGGTATGTTTGACAAAGAATTGCTTAGGCCCTGTTTGGCAAGAGGCTTTTTGACTTTTTTGGGGGCTAAAATCCACAAAAAGACAAAATAGACTAAAATAGTCAATAAGACAAAATGCCACATCAAACCCATAATCATATCACTTTTTCTCTCGCAAGCATTACATCCAACTACAAAAAAAATCCAATCATATTCGCAAACACAAAAATTAAAATTTTAACCTAATAAAATAGCTAAAAACTAAAATAGCTTACTAAAATAGTCAACTTCCCAAACGAGACCTTAGTATGACGTTGTATTGAGTGGTAGAAAACACTAAACTAATAAGAAAAGTAAACATAGAAATTCAACAGGAAATTGTTTTGTTACATTTTTCATAGAGCTGAAAACAACTCCTATTTATTGATTGTTGCAATCTTAACAGGTCATGTAAGTAGGTTAGTTGAATAATTGAAACAAAAATTTCCAATGCTTACAGAGATTATAGCGCTTCAATTTCTATCACTTATGGACATTTTCATGATGCAAATACATCATGTTTTATAATTTGTTTTGATAAGTGGTGTATATGTAATTACATATGTTAGTATGGTGTGGTAGATTAATGCAATAGTACATAAAATGAGTGTTTTATCTTGTTGATACATCAAGTTGTACATCATACGCATCCTTTAGAGAGTGATAGTTTATTGTTTTTTGATGATAAATTACTTCTGTGTATTGTTCCTATTAGCGGGTACAAAATAATATTCCCAACATTGAGTTGTATCCTAGCCTCTTGATTCCATTAACCATGCTTATGCCATTAGCTTCTTTATGAAAATTTTTCACTATTTTGGGTCGATTTCTTGAACATGATTTTGTCTGTGTAACAACACATTTGGTCATATTGCTGATATTGAGTTGTATGTGAAATCTGGGTACAGTGAGTGGGACACCCATCGTCAAAACCATGGTTACAGCTTACCAAACACTTGCTATTAGCTTTTCTCTGCCACTCTCAATTGAGGGTCACATATCTTTTTAAATCATTGGCCATGATGTTTTTCTTACAGTTAATAATCCTTCTGTTAGAAGGGCGGTTCTGTTTTGGAGGTTACTGTATTTTCTTCTAATGGATACACAGCTGTGATTGTTTTCTTAAATATCGCTTTCTGCTAGATGGGAAAGATTGTGGCTTTTGTATTTAGAATGCGTGATCCTTTAGGTTGCATCTGGCATGACTATATCTCATACTTTTGCTGTATTCGAATGCAAAATTTGAAGTGGTATTTTCCTTCTTTGTGTCTACTTTAACCACACAGATACGGAGAAGCATGGCCAAACTTGAGCTCTACCGAAAGTTCACCAATTGTCTGGCAGTATCAGTACTGCTTTCTGTTGCTTGGATCGGCTATGAGGTAGTTTCTGTTTCTTACAATTTTCCATTCCTACTGCTTGGAATTCTTTGGATCAACTGACAGTATTTTAATGAAACAGTATCACAATGACAGTGTAACCCCAAAATAAATTCCCTTTAGTACACATGCCATGCCTCACTGTTTTGAGAAGTTTTCACTTTGTACAATCCCAAAGCTGTGTTTGGATCATGGATTTAGGTAAAGATTTGGAAATGAAAAGGAAAAGACGAGGAAAATGGAGAAAAAAAAATTCTCTTTCCAATCCCTACCCAAATCCATGATGCAAACACAACCCAAGCTTGTTCACAAGTTAGTATCCACAGCATTGGATGGTTTGGCACGCTTCATATTTCATTTTTCCACAGCTCTTTGAAAACGTCACTTGCACAACTTACTATATCTACAACCCTGATTTTTTTTTTTCCTTTTTGAATGTAACATCATTGAAAGTTTACATCTGTCATAAAGCTTCTCTTTTATGTTGTTTCAGTTGTATTTTAATGCAACTGACCCATTGAGCGAATTGTGGAGAAGAGCCTGGATTATCCCAGCTTTTTGGACTTTGCTGGCATTTTTACTATTGGTGTTGATATGTGTTCTCTGGGCTCCTTCGCATAACCCAATGAGGTACTCTCTGGAACCTTGCTTATATTGTTTTCTTTCAGTTTTCTATTTCTCACTCTTGTTTCATGAACATTTCTTTTACTGTAACCCTGCGGAGATTAAGAGTTGTGTACATTACGTGGTGGGTATAGATGATGACTGAAGCTGTTTTTTCAGAGGAACTTCTAAATGTGCCGCAAATATGCGTTCTAGTTCCCAGCATAGAAAATCTGAGAAATTGCCACTCATCATTTCCCCTCATTGACTTGGACCAATTTGTTTTGTTCATTTCTCAATCACTTACACTTCCTTCATTATACCTTAATATTTAATGGTGGTGCACTACAGGGTGTTTGGTATTATTGTGTTAACAACCTAAGTAGGCTTTTAATGAGGTTTGATATGCGTAATCTGGTGAAGATCCCAAGATTAGTGAGGGAAGTATAACTAGTGCTGTTAAATGTATTTTGTGGCATTCTTGTTGAAATTTGTAGAAAATCGAGATTGCAGGACTTTGAAAGCATTCCAACTTTCACCAGCAAGCTGACCTATACAATTGTTATACTCTTTTAACTGAATTATACCATAATTTGTTTTTCTTTTTTTTTTCTCTGCATTTTATTATCATGCTACAATGTTAGCATGACTGTATTAAGTGCTTGTCAATCACGCGAAGAAAAGCACAATTATTGTTGTCGCATTGATTATAGTACTTGATTTGATGCGAGCGAGTCTGCAGATACGCTTACTCAGAAGGCGATGACCTTGAGGAGGAAGGTATCACGCTGACTGGCACTGGAATAAAAGTGGCTGGAGATCTATCAACCAAGGTGGAAAGAAAGGAAAGAAAGGTGTCAATTGCAACAGATCATGTGTTTGGGCTCGGAGAAGAACTTGAGGAGGACAAGAGAGAATAATGATGGCCCCTTTCTTGTATTTGATTGAGTCATTAATTCATAGCTTTGCATGAGGATCCAGGGCTTTGTTTGTTTAGAGTTTCACTTATACCCTTTTGTGCTTAATGTGAAAAAAAAAAAAAAATAATAACAATAACAAGAAGAAAATGAAATAAAATGCCTCTATTTGGCCTCTTTTTTGCGATTTTTTTTCTGTAGATTATCTTAACATAAGCTTGGGAGTTTCGCGGTTTCTACATTGTGTGGGTGATGTGGGTGAGAAGTAGAACGGGACACAATGCTCTAATATTGACGCAGGATCAACAAAAAGGTGAGATTTACCATCTTATTAAAGGATTGTGTCTAATTCTCTAATCATATTGTCTTTGTAACAATTACATGATCAACACTCTGCCAGGCGTCCAGTCATTTGGAGTTTAGCTGGCTTGGTAGCTTTTACTCTTTTGGAAGTTTGACTTATTTTTGTTTTGGTGAATTGGTTTTAAAATTATGTAATTGAATTTGTTTTTTGAAAAAAGAAATCTAGAAACGACAAAATTAAGTCAATTTTTGTAATTTTTTTTCAAAATGGACTCAATTTTTTTTTTTTTTTTTAGATTTTTCTTGTCAAAACAGACTTAAATTTTTTGTTTACTCAAAATTTAAAAGTATATATATATATATATAAACAGAAAAATAAATAAATAAATAAACTCACTTTTTAATTCTAGGCAAAAGAATGCATTGGTAGTTAGTGGAGTCAAGTTCAAGAAAAACAATTCTCCCATCCTGCCTGAGTAACAGTCTGATTGTTTCAAAGAAAAAAAAAATTAGGTAAATTACATTCATCTCTTTTAAAATTTGGAAAATATATGATGTTTTATAATTTTGACATAATTATACTAACCTCATTTTAAATAAACAACATAAAATATTTATTTTCATATAAGAGAAATAACAATATCATTTTTTTTATTCATATAACTAATAAATTATTGAAAAGAAAAGAAGACTGAGGGTTATTTGAATTAAAATATTAAAGAAGCTCAATATAATTATGTTAAAACTAGGGTGAATTACACTAATAGTCTCTATAGTTTGGGACTTGTGTCACTTTGGTCCATGACTTTTCAATTGTGACACTTTGGTCCCTGAATTTTGAATCTTGTTCCAAATAAAGACAATTGAAGATATCATTAGATTTTTCAAGGGTAAAATCTTCAATTTGATAAAATATAAACTAATTTGACAAAAATAAATGTCAAAAAAATATTTTTAATTTTAAAAAAAATTATTTTTATCCACCAATGATATAATTATGTAAAATTGATAAAAATTAATAAAAATTACATGATTAATTTTTAAAAATTAATTTTACATGATCATTATTCAAATACATAATAAAAATTAATTTGGTAAAAAAAAAAATAAAAGTCTAAAAGATTTATCAATTTTACATAATTTTATTTTTAGTGGGTAGAAATAATTTTTAAAAATTTAAAAATATAATTAAAAATATTTTTTTGACATTTATTTTTGTCAAATTAGTTTATATTTTATTAAATTGACAATTTTGCCCTTGAAATTAAATAATGATATCTGCAATTGTCCTTATTTGGAACAAGATTCAAAATTCATGATCAAATGTGCCACAATTGAAAAGTCAGGGACCAAAGTGACACGAGTCTCAAACTATAGGAACTATTAGTATAATTTGCCCTTAAAACTATCGAGATTAGTGTACTTTCCTTAAATGTGAATAGAGGTTAGTATAGTTTACTTTTTATATTTATTTTTTTACTAGCACATTTATAATTGTGTTGTTATATATTAAGTAATGATAAGTCTAATCAAAATTTTGTGAGTACCTAAATTATCACCATATATACATATATATATATATATATATTATTAAAAATAAATTTAAGGAGAGAGATATTTTTGAAATAAGGGATAGCGATATTTTTGAACTAAGAACTTAAAGTGTCTACATATGATACACCCAAAATAAGTATTACTCTTCAACCATATTTCAAAAAAATAAAAATAAAAATAATTTTGAAAAGTCACTTCTTGGGATCTTTTGAGGTTAATTCAATTTTCATGCAAGTATTTCCTTTTGTACATTGAAATATTTCTTTATCCAATGGAATGGAATGATATTTTTTATCTTTTGCCATAAAAAAAAAAAGAAAAAAAGAAGTAAAGGTTAGCTTAGTTATATATTGGAGGCATTTTAATTTAAGGAGATTGATCAACAAGTCCGATATTTTGAACTTGTAATTCATATAATTTCATATTTTTTCTTATGATCCATTTAATCTTTTTGAATGTGTAATGAATCATTTACCCGTCACATTGGAATGTTACATTTATGAAATTATATTGGAGTGTTACGTTTGGAAAAAATACACTAAGAAATCTTTTAATGTGTTAGTGTTATATTTGAGTATTACGTTTGAAAAAAAAACGCTAAGGAATTTATTAATATGCTATATTGGAGTGGTATGTTGGAAGAGTTTTTTAGTGTACTATATTACGTAGGAAGAGTTTTTTAGTGTGTTACGTTGAACGAGTGTTGCGTTTGAGAAAAGTATACGAAAGAGTCTTTTAGTGTAGTGCATTACGTTAGAGTGTTACGTTTGAGAAATTTTTCAGTGTGTTAAATTACTAGAGTGTTATGTTTGGGAAAAGTATATTAATGAATCTTTTAGTGTGCTACGTTAGAGAAGCGTTACGTTTTTTAAAAGCACCCTAAGGAATTTTTATGTTACGTTGTTACATTAGAGAAATACAAATGTAATCCAAAAATTGGATCCAACTTTCCTAAGATGACGTCCCCCAATGAGGAAGGGTAAAAACATCCATCAAATCATACCAACATTTAAAATAGGATCTCATGGTAAAGTTGTCAAAACAAATAGGATCTACCAGTGTATTAGAAAATCTATAGGACTGTTTAGAGTAATTGCTTCCCATATAAAATTTTCTGATAATTTTGACTTTAATTTAAACTCTTTTTTTTTTTTTTTTATTAATGAACATTTGGCTAATTTTGAACTCAGGCCTCGTTTGAGAACAGACTAATTTAATAATTTTTTGGGTATTTGACTAAAATATGAGTTAAAAAAACTAGTATATTTGAGATGATTTTTTGACTTTTTACGAAAAGATATGCAAAAAGTATAGAAAAAAGAGAATTTTTGACTTTTTAATATGAATTATTGACTCTTTAATTTTTTAAATAATTTTTTAACTTTTTAAATAAACCGGCCTATTGCCAATTTGTTAGTTCTAAGTGTTTTTTTTACTCTCTCTTTCTCTCTGTCTCATGCAAAAACATCATAGCACATAAGACGCGATGAAACTTAAACCCAAAACAGAGACCCTTCGGAAAGGTTGTCCTTACCACTAGAGGTAAACCTAACTTAATTTTATATATGAGTTCAAGTTGTTAACTTAAACGTGTTTTTATTTATTATATATATTGAGGAGTGCCATTGGCACAGGTCATGCACTAGTGTTAGTATATTGATCAAATAATTAATAAATACATTAGAGGTGAAGGAACCAATAGTTCTTTTATATTTTATAAATTCAAAAAATCTAAGAAAATAGAGTGAGGACTTTGGAGCTCAAAGAGTTTTTATTGTTTTGCAATTATATATAGTCTAGATAGATAATACATATAAGGCCAAAAACAGTAAACAGTAAAAATGTTATTCTAAATATAAGTAAACTTTTACTTTGTAATGACGCCAAAAAGGCGTAATGATGCTCTATCCTTAAGGATGGACCTAGAGGAGGGCAAGAGGCGGCAATCATCCCTTACGATTTAAAACACATCCATTCTTATAGTAATATTAATTATAATTATTTTTAAATTATAGAGATACACCGCCTCTTAAGTATTTTTTTTTTTTATAGCAAATTTTAAATGGTCATTTTCTCTTGATTTTTTTTTTTTTGGAGACTTATTTATAAGTCATTTTTCAGACATTTATGGTAGGCTAAGTCCTGTGTAATTTCTTATAGAATCTCAAACCCTATTTAGATGAGAATGTATTCCACAAGATCCTACATAAACGTAACGTGACGTGACACTTACATAAACGTAACGTAACGTGACACCTACACAAACGTAACGCAACGTGTCACGTTACGTTTCGCAAATTTAATAAGTTTTTATTTTTTTAAATTGAATGTGAAAATATTGCTGGTTTATGTTGGTGTCACGTTACGTTTCACACCTACATAAACGTAACGTGACACCTATGATCTATGGTAATATGCAATCATATCTACATAAACGTAACGTAACGTGACACCTACATAAACGTAACATGACACCTATACGTAACGTGACACCTATATAAACGTAATGTAACACCTATGATTTATGGCAACATTCAATTCCCTATAGATGTCACGTTACGTTTATGTAGGTGTCGCGTTACGTTACGTTACGTTTATGTAGATATGATCTATGGTAACATGCAATTTCTTATAATTCAATTTCCTATATAGGAAATTGCATGTTACCGTAGATCATAGGTGTCACATTACGTTTATCTAGGTGTCACGTTACGTTTATGTAGGTGTCACGTTACGTTACGTTTATATAGATATGATCTATGGTAACATTCAATTTCCAATATATGATTTTACTATTATTTATGATATTAACAACTAATATTGAGGGTAAATGACTTAACAAACTTCTCACTGGACTTATGAGAACATAAGTTTTTTAGTAGGACCATATGTAGCATAAGTCTCCCTAATAGGACTTATAAATAATTTTCTTTTTTTTTTTTAAATTTTTTTTTAGTGATTACTCCTCTAGATCTATAAAACATTGGATCAAAGTATAAAAGCAAAAAAAAATTAGAAAAAATATAATAAAATTAATAATTTCTTATAACTACCATTGATGACAATCCTTATTTCTAAATAATAAAATAAGGTATTAGCTAGTTATTTGATCATGTTCTTGAGGAAGACATTATACAAGATTTTAAAGTTGATTCTATCATAAATGCATTTGTTTGACAATCTTCACTGTATTTAAATAGATTAAATTCTGTTGTGTACAAAACAACAACAAGAATAAAAGAAATAGATAAAAGGAGAGAATTTGTTTGATTACAAAAATCAAACTCGAAATAATAATAAATAAATAAAACCACAGATTTTATTTTGTTACAAAAACAAAATTAAAAGAACCCACT